TAGGGAAAAGGTATTGCCCCTTTACAGCAAATTGATTGAAATCTTTATAAGATGAGCAGCACCAGGCTTTCATTTATGTTTTTCATTTTGAGGGAGCACTATTATAAGCAATGTTGTTTTCAAAGCTCTGAGCTTCTTGTTGATTATTTATCTGTAAAGGACTCTAAAGTAGATTCTGAGTGAGAATGCAGACTTTTATAGAAGTGATAAAGTAATGAACATGTACTCATAAAAGATTCTTCTGACTTTTTCTAAAAGGTTAGATTTTGAGTAAATCATAATAAAGCTCAAAGGACTAGAGACAAAAATTAGTTAACAAACTCAATATAATTTGCTGGAAGCATTCCTGTTTTCCCAGTTCTCTGAACAGTACCATACATCCAACCATCATCAATTGGTTGCACATTGATGATATAATCACCATCCCTGAAGGAAACTTCATCTTCATCTTGAGCACTGTAGTCATACATAGCTCTGTATGTTCTCTGTTGAAGGAAAGAAAACAAAGCTGTAAAGTCTCAAGCCTAAACAGAAATAGATCGCTTATCTTCTTTGAACTAAGAAAACAAAAAGAGCAGGACAAAGAACATATGGAGCAATGCAGACAGAGATATCACAAGTCACCTGTTGAAAAGAAACAGCATAACCCCCACTCTGTCAAATATACAAGAAATACTGCTCCGTTTTCTGAGTACCAAAATAACTATTTCTGTGACCCTACATTGCCCAAAGTCCTCATACAAACAAATCTCAAGCCATTCACTGCCTCATTAAATATTCCAGCTGTTGTTTCATATGTTCACTAGTAACAGTTCATTTCATTTAGCCATGGCTAGCTGTGCTTCTGCTCCCTATTTGCATGATTCCCAAATAACTTCTCCCATGTCTTCAGTACAGACAAGAAACACAATCTTCATACACGTCATTAACTTTGCCATCTCTCTGTAAGTCCTTCATTTCATTAGAATTTCACTTCAAATTAAGAATTAGGAATATATTATTATCTAATTTAAAAAAAAAAAAAAAAAAAAAAAAAAAAAAAAAAAAAGGATGAGATTTCAAAAAGTCTGCAAAAAAGTTTTATGAATACTCATTTTTGCATATTCAGATAAAATATTAAACAGAACACAAAATCCTATCATTAGCTAAGCTAAATTTCTCTATGACTCTGGCTACTGTAAACCAAGATTTCCACTTTTTTTTCTAAATAGAGTATTTATTTCTATTCACAACCAATAAAATGCTATAATTTACTGGAATTCAAAGTAGATTTTCAAACTCAGAGGGAACAGTATCCCTTTCTATCTTAACAGCAGAACAAAACTAGCTCATTTTAAAATTCCCAGGAGTACTTTCCTTTCTGTATCCCTTCTCTCAACAGAAGTCAAGCACGGCTCAAGCATCACTGATAATATTAAATTTCCCATATGTCACCATATCGAGCTGAATTTTTCTGGTACAATGATTTAAAGAGAAAAAAGGTAAAAACAGACAATTTTTTAGTTAATGCTTATACGATTGTTTGAACCTTTTAAGAGACAGCAAACTTTGTTCTGTTTCCCAGGTGAGGAAAACTGAATTAGTTTTAGTCCATCTCATACACTTATTTGAGTGATTTTTAAATGGCATTATTTTCAGAAAAAATGCAGATTCCTCCACACACAGCAAGTAGGCCATGTCACATGTTGGAAATGTGGGAACATCTAGCCCAAACCTTATAGAGCAACTCAATATTACCATTCCCAAGCTGGATGTACACTTTTTGTCTTCACTCTGCCTTTATCATTGGTACAGTAGATTAAACACTACAGAGAAATCAACTCCTGGTTAAACACTAGGCACCACTACATTTCCTGAATAGCCTATTCTGAACTCTGTTTGAATCTTGCTCTGTATAAATGTTCTCTGCCATACCTTGTAATGTTGCTTTCCTACAGGGTGTGACCAAGAGCGATTCTCAACCAGAGGTATGTGATTTCTTGGTGGTTCAATAACATCTTCCAAGGATTCATGGAAGGTGATGAAAAAAAAGCATCATTGTTTATGCACTAAATCAAACAAACTAGTTGGGAAGGTTCTATCATCACTGAAAATTCCTTAAAAATTCACCAACTAGAAAACTAGCCATCAGTAAACCCTAAGGAACAGTCTCTGCCTTTGAGAATAATGTTTTCCAACTATTTCAACTCTCCACTGAATCTTGAAACTAACTCCATAAAAACAATGAAATATGCTACTACAATAAGCTCAGCAGTAGTTGGCTGTTTAAACAATGTATTTTTTAAAAAAAAAGTCCATTTACAAAAACTAAGTCTGTATCTGGCATGAGGCAGAGAATGGGTTTTCCCCTGAGCCTTTCTTATATGTCTCTTAAATGGGCAAAGACTGGGGAAGAAGTTAGACTTTTATTAAACTAACATACAATTGGAAAAAAACAGAGAAGCTTGTGCTCACCCAGAAGGATGCTCACTCATTCTTGGAACATCATGGAACAGGACTTACAACCGCTGTCTCCTTTAAGGCAGCTTGACTACATCACTGTGGTGGCACAATTTTGAAGACAAACTGGTAATTTCAAACTTTGAAAAAAATTATTAGGGCCCTAAATTCTGCTGAGAAACCTAAATGTATGGCCTTAACACCTAATTAGGTGCTAAATGGCTGTCAGGAGAAATCTCCATAATAATCCTGTTAGCATTTAATACCTAATTATTACTTCAGAGTGTAGTCTGGGTTATATAATTGAGAATTATAATGCTTAAAGGACTCAAAGCAGGGATTTTTAAAATGCATTTTTGTGAATTATTCCTCTTTCAGTAGTGAATTCAGCAGGTACTGAGAGTCCAGGAGGGTTTAAGAAAAGGCTAGGGTTTTGTAAAACAGTGAAATACTTATCTCCCACCTCCTCAAACTTACAGCTACTGTTTAGACTTGAACAGTAAGTCTTGTGCATTTGTAGAACTGAAGCCCAGCTCTCATATTCCCAGACAAATGTGAGCTGACAGATGCGTATTTCCACTTCATCTACCAGTTTGTACTTATTCCACAGACTGTTTCTTGCAAGCAGCAGTACCTGTTGCAGGATCCTTCAAACAGGACAGTTACAAAGGAAAGCCAATTTGCAACATAGATTTTTTTTTCTTCCCACTTCTAGTTATCTAAAGGCATAAGAACACTCTCTCTTTGCAAAGATGCAAACAGCCCTCAGAGGTCTGTTGCCAAACATTCTATACTCCAAGCAACAATTTAATCCATTATGTGGATAATAGAAAGTGAGCAAAAATTAAGAAGCAGAAAATAATGCAAATTATCTGGCAGAAAAAAACCTACTCAAAGGCTGTGTTATGATCATGCCTGATACAAAACACAGCTCAAAATTAAATAAACTAAAACTGGAAAAAACAGAAATTAGAACATTTATGCTTCCCAATATAGGAAACTGGTGGACATTATTATAAAATGAACTTATGTCTTTTGGGGACCCCTAGTGCAACAAACCAGCTGAAATGAGTAGGTTTAACTACAGTAGCTAACTTTTCAGTCACCCTCACCCCAATATAACCTGTGGGATCTTAATCACTCTCACACTGGGGATTTCCTGGCAAAAATCAGGTGTCACCTTCATGATTTTTAGTTAAGACTCGAAAACCATTTGTGCTCCGAGATAAGTATTGAGGCCCAGATTTCTTTCCTCCCACCTCTTACCCCCTCCTTACCTTCTTCTCTTACTTATTTATTCCCTCTTCCTGGCTTAACCAGATAAGGATGCATCTCTGGCAGTATCGCTGCAAGCCCAGAACTGAAGAGGCAGCTGAAATGAATCTAACATTGTGTACATTTCTCAGATCTCCCTGACCATGGCCACACTGTATTTGAAAAGGATTTCAATGCTGCCTTCCATCTTAAAACGGTGCAAAAGCACATTCTCAGCCTGCGGTTTCCCCAAGAACACACTGGGAACCCCATTGTGTCATTCCAATAGCTGAGTGTAACATGTCCAGCACACCTGGTTAAGCTGTACAAGCTAAAGAAAAGATCGTCCTTTGATGTGAAAGTGCAAAGACAAGGGAACCTGTCAAGTTTCTATCCATATCCAAGATGCCTGTTTTGGAGCAGAATCATCATCCTGGGGGGTGAAAAGATCACACTCTGCCTTCCTCACCAGACTGGCAAGTTAGCAGTCAGCACCACACCAGCAGTCCTTGAATTTCTCTGTCTGGAAATGTTTGGGTGTTATTGTTTGCAAGGAAATGCACTCAGTTATTAACTGCAACAAGATTAATTCAAACTATAATATCTGCCATTTCCTTTTTTCCATAATAAACAGCTATTACCACTTAAAAGAATGTCAAATGACAAGTGTGCCACTTAAAGGGATAAGAAATACTGTTGAATCACAGAATTGCAGAATCACAGAATCTTAGGGGTTGGAAGGGACCTCGAAAGATCATCTAGTCCAACCCCTCTGCTAGAGCAGGATCACCCAGAGCACATCACACAGGAACTTGTCCAGGTAGGTTTTGAATGTCTCCAGAGAAGGAGACTCCACAACCTCTCTGGGCAGCCTGTTCCAGTGCTCTGTCACTCTCACACTAAAGAAGTTTTTTCTGATGTTTACGTGGAACCTCCTATGTTCCAGTTTGTACCCATTGCCCCTTGTTCTATCACTGGACATCACTGAAAAAAAGCCTGGCTCCGTCCTCCTGACACTGCCCCTTAACATATTTGTAAACACTGATGAGGTCACTCCGTTCCTTATGTGCTGGATTTGAAGGCTATTTTGTTCCCTATTGACCAGCAAATCTGCTGGCAAAGCCCAGGTTTCCAGGTCTCTTTTTGGACTCTTCCCCTTTTGGAAAGCAGCCATCTCCCTAAGTGCCTTGTGATAGGCTTGGAAATTAAAGGCTGAATTCCAGTATCAGCTGCCTCACTGCTGTCACGCAGGTGTCCAAAGAGTTTCTCAGGTTACTTGCTCACCCAAAGACACAAGTATCTGAATCCCAAATTTCTCAGCAAATTAGCCCACTCAATCCCCAAGCAGCTTAGAAGTGACAAGCCTGAAAGCACTCAAACCTCACAGAAATTCATAATCTTTACAATATAAAATGCCATAGACTTTCATTCTCAAAGACAAATACAGATTTCAGTTAATCTTGAAAACAGTATTTTACCGGTCAGTAAGCTCAAAGTTTTACTCATAATTAAATATTTCATCTTCTCTAAAAAAGGTGAGAGAAGTGGTAAATATAGATCCATTCAAAATAGTTTAAAATTTAAAATTGAAAATTGATATTTTTAAGAAAAATGGTGACTGGACCTGAACTACCAAATCTCCAGGCAGTGATATGATTAAAAATATGATAAAAAATATAAACGTTGAAACTGAACCTTATATATAGAGTGCAAAAAGAAAAAGAAGCTCGATTTCCTAAAAACCCCAGCTGAATACCATCAGCTTTCCTTCCATGACCAGTTCTTTCTAAAATGAAATATTCACTTCAACTTTACACTCCCATCCACCACAGCTAAGAACTTCATGACTGTGGCCATGGTTTTGTGATAAAGCTTCTCCTTAGTTGCCCAGCAGTATAGCTCAGCTTGGATCAGGGACGAGTGGGTACATGACTGTTCTCCTGAATGAGAAAGAGCACCCCAAAATAGAGTCTGAGCCAGCTTTATACAAGCAACAACCGGTAATTTAGGTAGGCATAAGACTGCTAGTACAAAATCAGCATGTCAAAAAATTTGAAACAAATCTAAACCAACAGAGTGATCTTAACAGATCAGTGTTTTTCATCCAGTCCTAGTAGCCTGAATTCATAACAGGGCACAACATTAAAGCTCAACCTGTGAAATACTGTCTAAGTATTTACTGTTTGTTTTAAGCAGGTAGAAGATGCAGTTATTTCTCTCCTTTCTGGAAATCAGAGATTTTTATTCATTCTGACATAAAAGTTTTTGCCACTGCCCTCAGTCACTTAAAAGTTTTTTATACATGAGGACCATCACATTTAGGACTAAGACAATCAAATATTCCAACTGAAGAACTTGATGGGAACAATTCATTCATATTTAAGAGAGATTTCACAATAGTTGATCATGTTGCTCAACAAATAACATCATTATTTAAATCCAATACTCACCAGACTTGCTGAATGAGGCTGTGAATGCATGGACCTCATGGATGACATACTGGTCTGGTGCATGTACCCATAGCCTTGGGACTGGCTTTGCTGATATGCCCCAGGGAGAACAGGGGCTGTGTGATAAAGAAATACAGAAATGTTAACTAAGGGTTTTTTTAAAGTCTTTATCTAGTATTTTGTAGAAACTGTAGATTTGCACTGTAAATAAAAATACCTCAGTATGACACATTTCTGAATGATTTCCATATACAACATAAGGCTTTTCAGAGGTTGAATTACACATAAATGTAGCCAAAGCTTTAGCAATATATCCACAAATACTATCAAGGTTAGTTGGAAGGAAACGCTTAACATACCTTTAAAAGTTTGACCATAAAAAGTCATACAAAAACTTGAGACATGACTAGCTCAATTCTCATACTGCCATAGACAATGTGCTAAATATCATGTGCCATGAACTAATTTTTTAAGGAAAGATTGATGAAAAAAAGCTACATAGTAATACAGTTTTGAAATACTTCAGTAGAAATTATCGACAATGAATTCTTAACTCATTGCAAACCAATTTTTATTTATTGGGCTATGAAGAAGGATTGTGATTCCCAGACAGAGACAGAAATGTAAAAAAGTGAGCCCACAATTGGATTCTTAGTTTATTCTGATTCCATCAACATTCTCAGACAAACACAAAGAGATCAAGATTACTTAAATATTTTCAAGTCCACCTTTTTCAGAATTTAACTCTTACCACACAATAGCACCATCTTTCTCACACATACTTGATCCACATTATTTTAACAACTACATTATTTTACCAATCCTATATGACTTGTATTGTACCAAGTGCTGCTGAAACAGTTAATACAATCAACAAGGACTCCCTACCTCTACTGCTTACTAGGAAAGCCATTCATAAACCTTCCATTACCTCTCTAACATCTTACTTTGGCAAAACAGAACATGCTAAAAAGATGTTTGATCAAAAATCTGAGAGAAATAAGCACAGCATGAGTATTCACTATTTTCCTAGCAAGACCATTAAGCATTTTTAAAGCAAAATTGCTTGCATGTTTTGCAAGAATCTCATGCACTCCAAGAAGAGACTTCTGCCTTGTTTGGATAAAATTTGCCCATTTCCACTGTTATTTACCAGAATTTTACTAGTTCAATTCTGCTGATAGTCCTTCAAGTGGTCTATTTAGCTGGTATTTTAATTACTCTGACAAAAGCTGACTTTCACTTACAGGAGATGGAGACCATGCAGACCATAAGTCAAAAAATCTCCAACTATGGAGTCATTCAGCAGTCCACTACATTCTGAGATATATTTCTCGGTCTTGCAGGGAAGTGGAGAACCCTTCTGGAACAGCCATCACATACAGATTCAAAAAGGAGCAAAGGAAATGTAGGAACTAATGGGGTTCACAATGTATAGAAGAACCCATGACTTGTAAAATGAAACTACTCCATTTAAAAAAAATAAAAGAAGTATTTATATTTGCAGTAATAATACTCCGCCCTTCTCTGCTGCTTGAGTGATTAAGACAATAAATGCATATGAAAAAGACTTACCAAAAAAATGTTTGCTAAACTATTACAGAAAGAAAAGCCAGCCTTGTGCTTTCAGCAAGGTGTTTTACCTACCCTGCTTCCACAGCTAACAAAATCATTGATTTCAGCAAAGGTTTTTCTTTAAACATCCATTTAGTTTTAGTTACCGTATTCAAAGGCACTACATATGTAATTACAAATTGGGATGTTAGTTTTTGCTCTACTATACTTGTAAAGACAATTAATGCTATAACTTTAACTAGGGTTTTTCTGATTTAGAAAACATTTGCAACTATTGTAATGAATAGATCGCTTTGTTATGTGAGTGAAATTAAAGTGATACATAGTCAGACTGGAACATGATGAATAATGGATGTTTTGGAGTTGCCAAGTTCACTTGATGACATATGAGCACAAAGACATTCTAAAGCAGTTTAATCATCAGAAAATTGCTGCTTGTTAACATGTTCAGAGGATTATCATGCATTAAGTGAATAGTCCTAAGTAGTTTATCAAATCATTTATGTTTCAGTGTTGTTACAAGCAATTTTACATGAATAGATACAGCCCTTCATGAGAAAATAGAGAAAAACATAATTTAATCAAAGGTTCTGCCATCAAGCCAGAATTAATATATTTTGCCTAACTCACAACCCACATAAATGTAGGTCAGTTTACAGAAGCCAAGAGAGTTTCATCTCCTCATTGTAGCAGTGAATTGCTTATACGGGTTGAAAACAGAGAATAGCTTAAACTTTTTAACTTAACAGAAAGTAGTATCTTAAGCTGACATTGGCTGCTGACCAGCTGCCACCCTGCCTGCTCTGCAGCCACAAAGGTAGGTTTTCCCTGGTCCCTGGCAGGGTCAGACACCCTGACAGTCCCTTTCTTCTTCCTAAGAGAAGTGAAGACACTGGTAGAAACTCTTTAGTTTTTATTCCTTCTCCCCAAAATGGATTTTTCTCAATTCTTGCCACCTTGTTGGTGTACAGCAGCAAGGCTACTGATGCTCAGCTTCACAGGCTTATTTTGGGGAGGATAGGCCATGCTTCCTGCCTCTGTGACAACTGTCAGCAGCAGGTCTGAGATGCGCATTCCTCTTTTGCAATCAGCTTCTCACAAGCTGAGAGAACTCTGTCAAAGTGTCTCAGCAAACTTGTTTGCTTATTTACATGCAATGATGAAAACTGTAAACCCAGAGAAACAAAGCTTTTCTTCCAAAGCAGGAGAAAAATTAGGAAACATTAAAAGCTGAAGTATTAGAAGATTCTACACAAACAAAAAGAAGGAATTTCTAGGATTAGCTTTGCTAATTATCTTCCAGTCATTTATTTAGGTATTAGAAATATGAGCATATATGCAAAAAAAATTATCAATCGTTTTTAACTTTTTTTTTTTTTTTTCAAAAAATAGCTAGGACATGTCCAGATGGTTTTCTATTTGGAAGACAATTTGGCAATCACATGAATAAGCAGGTTAGAGAAGATACAATAGATCTGAGATGTGTTTCTGGTTACATATAGATAATTCAAGGTGAGATAAAATGATGCAGAAAAAGAGTTTGACTTTTCTTCATCATCATCATCCATAGTTAACTGCAATCTTTTGGCTCAGACCAAAGTATAACGTTCTATAACATCATTGACTGCAGCAGCAGCAGCAAAAGCAATGGTTTTAGTTAACCTAAGGGAACAATAAAACACAGTGGTGGAACATGAAATTAATTTAGCTGAAGCCAGAGTTATTGCTGAGGGCTGATCATTGCTCCCAGCAGCACAGGTGGATGTTTTTTCTTGTTGTAGTAAGATTTTACCAGATGCATCCTGATGTTTCAAAACTTACTTTTTCTCTTGTATCACTTACCAAACAAGCCAGATACTAATTTTAAATTATATACTTGAAGGAATTTATCATATTTCTCTTATTATATCTTTATAGGGTTCTCCAGAAAAAAAGAAAGAGAAATACAAATGAACACAATAAAAGACAAACAGAGAGGAAGGCTCTAAGAAAAAGAAGAACCTGAAAGAATGATAGTGGGTATCAACTTGCTGCAGCAGACAGGAGGTCTGCAGAGCATGTACCAATCAGGACATGCTTTGAGAAGGACTGGGAAATTAAAAGGCTAGACTGTGGAAACAGGAAAGGAAAAATTAAGAGAGCATCGTAGAACTACAAGGTTAAAAAAAAAAGTTGACGCTGAAAAATCATTTTAAGGGTAGGTTTCAAGTTAAAATATTTTCTCAAAACCATACTTTCATTCCTCTGTACAGCAGAACCTCAATAATCCATGGTAAAACAATGTATCCCCACTGCTAACTACTGCATTTTTCCTGTTTATTAAAATACATGCCATTTACTGGACCAGATATAAAAATAATCATTTCATTTACTTTTACACACATCATGCAATTTTAAGCGTTTATTTCACTTTATGTGTTGGTGTTATCTCAACTCAGGTTTTCCCTACTGAGCTACTAAGACTTCAGAGAACTCACTAAGAATATTGCAACATTTTGTAATAACAACCACAACATGAGGGAGCAGGAAGTAAAAAGAAAGAGGATTATTATTATGTACTTAAATCTATTGTCTATAAGACGATGATCAAGCGTTAGATTTTCAGAAGAGCACAAAAGTTGCAACAGAGCCAGAATCATATGTCTTTGTATTACTCATCTTATGACTAGATCCCTCCAAATAGATGAAGCTGCTTATGGGAACCATGTTGCTCCACATATCAGAAGTCCTTCCCCTGTTTTGCCTTGCTGCTTCCTTATTTTCCACAGGTTGCAACATCTAGACCAGCCCTTACGGTTTTAGAAAGTCTCTCCCACAGCTTTCCATTCCTTCTTTCTTCTGCCCTTCTCTTAGAAATTACTCAGCTATGTCCCATGCAGCAGAAAACACTGTCAAAGTAGGGACGCAATCACACATGGGGAAGTGTAGGCCTAGAGTACACTTCTGGGGTACTCAGGTACACCCCACATGTTGTTCGTGTGGATGGGTCATTGCCCAAACTGCACAACCAAGATACAAAACTACATAGCAAAGGAGATAAGACCTTTGGGTAATTTTTGCTGCATTGAAGTTGCTGGATAATAACAACTGGCACCTTTTTAAAGCCTTCCCCAACAAGTGTCATGGAGGTAACTTAATATAAGCTCTACCTCAGTATTAATTTTGCTTGTTTGTTTTCTCATTTTGCCCAGATGTTGGCTGCTGCTCCCCATCATCAAAATACTTTAAGTGTTTAGGGTTAAAATTTGTATTGCAAATCACATCCTTGAACAAAGTGGTATATTATCATCACTTACCAAGACTGGCATACTTGAATACAATCAATAGTTTTCACCTCTTTCCCGAATCTAATGGAATTCAGTGTTTCTAATAAGAAAACTACTTCCCTCCCTCCTGGAGCTGTCTCATCAAAATTTGCAGCAAGACTTTTGATGAAAAGGTACTAATCGTACTGAGTAAGTACAGGAAAAATGGAAAGAAAAAAAAAAGGTAGATAGGTAGATTATAAGAGAAATAACATTTATTTCTATTTGTATTTGAA